AAACACATTTTTGACGTACAAACTTCAGCATATTTGTTTGCGAATTGAGAAATATTTAGGTACATACATACATTCAAAGCAGAAATAATGCAATTGCTGCTAAATTACAAAAGTGTCGGCCTATGTAATCAATTCATTGATTTTGAGTAGTTTTCCTGAACGCGTATTTTCCATCTGATGCAATTTCTTTCAGCATTTGAGGCTGCTTCTTTACGAATTCGAAAAATTCCGTACAAGTCATTTTAATGTTGTACCGAACAAACAAAAGATCTCGCAAAGTCTCGATTTTCAGTTGTAACTTCTCATCGCTCCAAATCTGATTGATCAAAGAAAATACGCGTTCAATACGCCCACTTTTAATTTTTGTTTTATCTCAACGGCCGCTATACCTCACTTATGCCTCAAAACGAGTCTACGATACGAATGAGTTTAATATACAAAGACTCAAATGAGTTAGTTGAATGAACTGACTCCCCAAAGTGAGTTGGAGTCATTGAGTCAACTCCTATAAATTTGCTGAGTTACCCACCTTTAACGGACACAAGAAAAACACAAATAAAGTATTCAGCAGACAGCGTTGCCAGTATTGGCGATTTTATCGTCATTTTGACGATTTTTTAATGAGGTGTTTACACTTTCCATCAACTGATTCATTATAATATTTTTAGTTTTTATTAGTCAAAATTTGCATGTTCCTATGTATGTTGTGCGCTCCTATCGATAAAATTTACGTACAACAATATTTCTTCGATTCAATTTACGTACATTTTCGTGATTTTGTGGTTAGCTTCGGTACACGGTACATGGCTACAAATTTACGTACTGTACGTGTCATTTACGTACAGTTGGTCACACTATGTATGTACATATATGTGCCCATAAGAACCCAGCCAGCAAAGAAACATTAATTTTGCCGACAGTGCAGTTTAGTTCAATATTCCGTATCCGAAAACGCTTACAAAAAACTTCTACCGTTATCATCAATTTTCGTATCCGGAAAACGTTCATTTGAAAGCAATAATTGTATTTTATTTGCTCAAGCTAAACATTTGAAAGCATGCATGCGTAGTCGGCAGTGGCTGAGCGTGCAGAAGAGTGTGCCGCTATTTGTTAGCTTCCAGAATTATTTTATTTTATTATTTTATTTTTTTTGACCCATGAAAAAGTATCTGCGAAGTGCAGAAGGAAAGCGTATTGAAGGAAAAATTCAATCAGACAAATTTCAGAAAAAACAGCCGAAAACGTAGCCTTTTCACCACCATTTTCGGTACTTTTGTGTACATACTTTTCTGCCGCACACTGTACTGGGAAAACGGATTATTAAAGTATGCGGAAATGGAATCGGTAGACGGGCAAAAATCCGGTTTTCCTCGACTTTTTCCCCGTTTTCGGATCGGTTTTCGGATTTTTTGCTGGCTGAGAAGTGATTCAATTAAGATTCTTTGAAGGTAATATTGGAGTAATTCTTAAAATTAGTATGCGTACATTTGTAAATATGTATTTATGATGATGCGTTTTCATGGTGAAATTATAAACTGGTGAAGTAATAAAACAGCCTTCACGTTTTATTTTCCTGACATTCGGCTATCTTATACAAATTTTTAAAGCAAATTTTAGAATATGATAGTGTCAAATCTTTCATCTGGTATAATTTCACCATGAGCCAATTTACACGACGACTTTTCACCATGCGTTTTTTTCACGTTCCGTTCCCTTTTAAAAAAAGTCTTCGAAAATCCTCGTGCATTTACACGATGACTTTTTTGCGGCATTCCTTGCGTTTTTTTACATTTAAGCGTCAAATTTTCTTTGGTCAACTCTTTCGTCCTCATTTTTAAAGCGGAGCGAATCGCGAACTCAAAGTAAAAATACGAAAAAGTGAATTCGATGAAGCGAAACGTCAAAAAAACCCTCGAATTCGCTCACCGTGTGTACTTTTTGCCTACAAGCTCGCCTAGTATTTTCGATATTTTTCTCTTGGGAGAGAACAGATGACATTTCGCCGGAATTTTGCTGTTGAACATTTTTAACTGGAGATTTTAAACGAACGTACCTATAGACTAACCAACATTTAACAGAACTGTTACGAACGGCTTTAACTGACGTAAAACCAGATTTTGAAAATTTGGCCAAAGAATCTTACTTACATTAGAATAATAATAAAATTAATGTTTTTCATTTCTAATAATAATTTTATTTAAAAATATTTTTTTTTGTTTTTCTTGTGGCTCTTTGTAGCATTTAGAATTTACATGTGTTTCTTTTCGGCCTCGGCCTTGCCCAGCCCTGTTATATGCCTTGGCATTAAATGAGTATTTTCACTCATGAAAGTATCATGTTTGAAAAGTTTGCTATAATATTTTCATTCAAAAATTAGAAATTTAAAGCATAAATCAATACAATGAAATTAATTGTGTTACTGTGAGCGTTAGGGACAGAAAGTGTCATAAAGTATAACCTAATTGTTTTCTCTAATTGCACGATGTATGCAATTAAGCAAGCAACGACTAACTGGTTCCCGTAATTATTAAATTAACAAGTAATTTTTAACAAAAAAAAACCCAACTTAAAAAAAATATATATATATCTATATATATTTCATGATCCAATGAACGGATCTAAACCAGATTATTATGGGACAACCTCTGAGACACTACCTTTCCGATGCAAAAAGAAGAATGGAAATCGGTTGACGTGGTCCAAAGTTATGCGGTAACATACATACAAAAAAAAAAAATTTCCGACGAACTGATAACATCCTCTTTTTTTGGAAGTCGGTTAAAAAGAGCTGTAATTTTTCGTGCACACGTTTGTGCGGGGTCACTGTACATGCATTATATTTCTCCTATAATTCAGAAATGTCAATGTATGTATATGTGTTTTTTAGCTTTATTTTCATTGCAGTAAACTATATTAAGCTGGTTGCTTTTGGATATAATTCATAGGCGTATACTTGAAGCCTCAAATCAATTCGTAGCATAACTTTTGAGTTATAGATGTTTTTATACAAAAAAAATATTAAAAATAAAAACAAGTGAATTTTTTGTGTAAATTTTAAAAGGTGAAAAATTAATTATGTCATAACTTTCGAAGCACACCATATACTAGTTTTATGGGCAATTAGTACTTATGTGAACACTTAATATGTAGTAGATAACTAAAATGTGCCCTAAAAAATAACTAAATGGCAAGTAACTCTAAGTTTGTTACTCTACTTTTCACAATTGTCTAAGTTTTCGATTTACCGCGTATAGTTTTTGAAGCATTTCTTTTTAAAAACTTTTGAAGTATGTATTGTATTCTACAAACAATTACGAATAATAGTGCCTTAGCAAGAGGTGTGCTTTCAGAATAAACCAACTTTTAAAGATAAAATATTCCGAGACCTTGAGCGTAATTTTTATTTCGAAAACATCTTAATTGAAGGCACATTGGGAAAATGCATCGAAGCGATTTAAATCTTTTTAACCGACTTCCAAAAAAGGAGGAGGTTATCAGTTCGTCGGAATATTTTTTTTTTATGTATGTTACCGCATAACTTTGCACCACGTCAACCGATTTCAATAATTCTTTTTGCAACGGAAAGGTAGTGTCTCAGAGGTGGTCGTCCCATACTAATTTGGTTTAAATCCGATCATTGGATCATGAAATATATAGATATATATATATTTTTTAAGTCGGTTTTTTTTTTGCTAAAAATTACTTGTTATAACTATTAGTCCTTATAACGTTAAATATGCCTGTAAAATGCTTCAATAAAATGTTCACTAGAAGTGTGTAAAAACCCCGATTTACTACTTCTAATGATGGTCCTTCTTGTAGTCAGAATATTTCGAGCGTGATATCAATCAAATCAACATGCCCGATTGGCTTCACTTTTCGAGATACCGGTACTTGAAACGTTGCTTCAATTTTAACTATTTTATAAAACCACTCCCTTAGTTTTGAAGATATTTTAGTAAAATTTCGCACACGACTATTTTAATGATACATTCACTATCTCTTAAAATCATTGAAATCGGTTCACTATAACATCTAGCTCCCATATAACTCCTCCAGTTAGGCAGGTAAAAACCCGGTATGTGCAAAATTTTAGTAAAATAACTTAAAAACTTAGGGAGTTATTTATAAAACATTTAAAACTGAATCAAATTTTCAAGTACCGTTATCTCGAAAAGCGGAGCCAATCTTGTAAAACGGGGGATGCTATTGAATTCAGCACGTCCCAATTAAGTAAGTTCAACTTCCAATATCTTTGCTCAAAATTTACAACTAGCACAGCGTAATGTGATCCCAGCTTTTTTTTGTTTATTATTTCAGCTATCTAAATGTTTATTCCTCGTCTAACTTTTGAAGCACTTGATGAAAATGAATTACACTATTTATCGATTTATTAAGAAATTATGAATAGATTGATGTATAAAACATAGGTGTGCCCACAAATTGAAAAAAATAAAATTTGTGTTTTGAAAGTGTACCTGTTTTTTAGATTTGTTTTACATTTTATATGCATAGTACAGTTTAGTTTTAATGTTTTATTTGTTTGTTTGTTATTTGTTTTTTTTTTTACTTTCTAAACAAACCTGCATATCCACATACACGTACATAGCTTTGACACTTTTAATATTACATGTGTACATTTATACATTGCCATAAATAAGGGCCCGCATATGTATGTATGTTATTTCCGCAGTTATTCATAATAAATATCATCATCATGAATGCAAAATGATTTACTTACATTTTTTAAATATTCCGTTCGTTTTTCCTCAGATAAAACCCCATACCAAATTTTAATGCCATCTTTAGCACAGTTACAAAACTGTTCCTTTGGGTGTAAATTTGAAACGGTTGTTGTCTCTTCCATAAAATTTGAAATTCGTAAAATCGGACCTTTTGCATTGATTGTGACGATATACAGATAATAGTGTTTTACCATATTCACTTTGTAACTTAAATTTCATGAAACTAATGCATTTTTATACGTATGTCATATATAGGAAATGATGACCATCAAGCGCACGACGAATCCCCGGAAGCTGATGCCTCAAGACAAAGCAATTCCGCCCGGAAATTTCAAGGAGCGCAAATCTGGAGCACGCTGCTGACGACGGCATTGATGATGTTCATGTATAAATTTAAGAGCAGCTAAAACATTAACTAGGAGATAATAAATCTGCATATACAAATGTACATATCCATATGTACAAATACATATGTATATACATATGAGCTACATACATATGTATGTAGGCATTAAACTAAAGCCATATCAACGATTGTTATGTATGCTAGATATGAAGATAAAGGATGGGTGCATTCACCCTAATGCAATTCAAATGAATTTTGCCAGTTATTCTTTAAGCGTTGTGAACATGGAAACTAGCTTTAATAAAATCCATAAATACTTTTTTGCATACTTATACTGTTAATATTGTATGTAAGACCATTTCTTAGATTAAGTTAAGTAGGTGGGAATGAATTGTGACATTTAACGTTTTCATTTGTAAAATATGTATTCACTTGCTTTAAACGAAATCGAAAAGAAATAATTCTGTAAACCCCAAAAGGCATCGCTTTGAAATACTGAAGAAATTCCTGTACCAATTCTTACATAAATGAGTGACTCTTCACTGGCGCTCGATTTGACTATACATTGGTATGCATTATCGTCCCTCCAAACGGAATTGATCACTGAAAAAAATTTAAATTTTTGAAACGATCTGTAACTCAGCAAGAGGAAATAAATTTCAATTGCAGTTCAGTTTGAAACCAAAATTTATATTATTGTGAATACCCTTTTAAATTCATAGACACCTATTAAATTTAATAAAATTAGTAAATAGCTACAAAAAGATATCGAAAAATTCCGTATTTATACATAAATGAAGGAATCAGAAATAAAGTAACTATGTACATACATTCCACAATTTACATATTTCTATATCAAGAATGGAGTGATAGTATTGGCATATTATTTAATTTATGTGTACATATGTAGGTGCATTATTTGCCAACAAAAATTAGAAAAAGTATGTTCTCCTGCCTTGAAGTCGTTGTACAGTAAATATAAATTATGTTATATAAATAAGGAATATTTGTAAGATATTATTGTAAAAGAATATAATGTGTTATATCAAAATATATAGTTTAGCAATACTTATAAACAAATAACATTACATAAATAATATGTATGTATATATGTATTTCATATGTAGACAAATTCGAATAACGGAATTAATATTTAACTCCGAATATTGTAGTCATTTGAGAATTGTACATACACGAATAAGTTTAAATGCATCAGTCTTGACATACATACAAAAATACGTCGTTTTACTTTTATATTAGGACACTAAAACTCTGTAACTCGTTAATTTCCACGTCTTTAAAACTTTGTTTGACAACTCGACAAATAAATTGATACTTAGTACATATCTTTCTAGTAAAATTGGTTTACTTGTATCGCGGTATTCGTCGGTTTTGAAGGTAGTTTAAATCAGAAGTGGAGCTAATGGTGCCAAAATCGTAACAGATCTACACTGAGAAAAAAATTCCTTGATGTTATGAAAAAAGTATGATCAATTGGCAATTACTGTCAAATTATATAATTCTGGATAATTCCGTACCAACTCGATTAATTTTCCCTCCATACCAAACAAAACTTGTAATAGAATACCGTCACCTCATCAGTGAAATACGCAAACAAATCTTTGCCGAGTTAACTGCACTCTAAAAAATGTTTGTTTAAATTTAAGCATATTAAAAGAGGTAACCAGTTTCCTCTCTTAATGTATGCAAATTTGCACACCGTGTTAATCAATTTAAATATTGCTTTTTAACTTTTACTTACCATATGTGTGGCGTAGAACAAATTTGAAATTTGTTTGTTGAATTCTAAACACTTAAGGCCAAATTCACAGTGCGAAGTTAACTCTGAATCGGCAGTTAACTACAGAATTTCAGTACAGCACTGTGAATTTGGCCTTTAGGGCCGTTAACTTAATTATTTTAAATTCATTAGTTAAATTTAACTACAAAAACTTATATAGAATTTTCTTAGTGTTCACAATTACACAGTTTACACATCAAATGTTTAAAATTTGCTCTAAAATTTTTTTGTTTAAATTAACGCATATTAAGAGAGGTTACCAGTCTCCTCTCCTAATGTCTGTAAATTTAGACACCGTGTTAATAAAATTAAACACTGCCTGTTTACTTTTATATACCAAATTTGTCGCTTAGAGCAAAATTACACATAAAATGTACTTAATTTTTATTTTTAGTAGGGAATGTATTTTTGCGTTAAAAACGTTTGCAATTTTAAACATCTCCTGTTCAAAAACTCAGTCATGAACATCTTATGCGTATACTTATTTACACAGATTTTGTTTGAAAATAAACACTTTTCAGTAGTTGTTTCACATGCACTTTTTAGAGTGTATAAAAAAATTGCGGAACGAACACTGAAGCAGCACTGACGGTAAATAACGGCACTATGCCGGATAGTCTGAACAACTCTGTTTGGGACTGAGGCAACGATATTATATTTTTCACTGACACTGATAAGCAGTGTTGCCACAGACAAATTTTTTTCCCTACCAAAACTTCCTACCAAAATCAACCAAAACCTACCAAAATTTTATTTAAGTTTTTAATATTTTTTTAATGACAAGGTATCGAGATTTCTGCATAAAAATCATTAAATCGTTATTAAAACACCAGATTTGTGAAATAATAGCTAGATAAGATATCGCCTAACAAGGCAATGCCTTCAAAGAGTAAACTGTTTTTTCGCTCTCCTGTAAAATTTGAGTGCCGTAAGATAGGCGGTTTTACAATTGGGCGATGGGCGGTTTTGCAAAAACATCGACTATATTCTTATTATTACGTCTGGGATACACGCGCTGCGACCTTAGAAGATCTATTGTTCTTAACCCTAATTGTAATCATTCCACCCTTATTCTCTTTCAAAAGTTAGGCAATTTGGATGGTGCCATGATTAAATAAAATTTTGAATGAAGACAATCCTTCCCCAAGGTGTATCAGTCTGGTATTTATGATACGTGGGCAGTCACATAGAATATGCTCTGAAGTTTCCTCCATCAGCTCACTAAAGGCTAGGGACCATGCAAATGCGTTTGGGCTCCACGCTTTGCGAGACAGTCAGCTTTCGGTGTCTTCACACCCTTCATGTCCCGGAACCCCACACAGCGTTACGTTATAGTTGGCTTCCAAGTGGCTCAAAAGAGTTTTACAGCTATCCACAAGCCTGATGCCGTTTTAAAAGAGTCTAAAAGCGTTTAACCTGCGTGGATATCCGACATAATATTTAATTTGGCCCCATTTGTCCTTCTACACAGACCACGATTGCGAAGACTTTCGCCTGGAATATAGTTGGGTATGCGTAAATTGGCAGACTTTCTGGAATTTCGGTCCAAATACGCCTGCCCCAGCACTCTCTTCATTCATTGATCCGTCGGTAGTCCCTTCCAGGAATTCTGATCTAGTAGGATAATATAACTCGGGATTATCCAGTAATGGCTTTAGAACCTCCAAATGACCTCGAAGATCCCAAAATTTCTTGCTGATCATACTAGGCAGTCGTAGGCGCTCCTGCAGGCCTCTTTCAAACCGGATAGACAAAAGAAAAACGCCTGTAATGACACCAATGGCATCCGTTGGACAGGTGCCCATAGCTCCTGTAATGGCCACGCGGACCAGTCGGTACAGCTTGCTAAAGGTGAAAACCTCCTTTACTTGCGTAGCTTTTGGTCACCAGGCCAGTGCCGCATATGTGACAACGGGTCTTACTACCATATTGAAAGATCAATAGGTTAGTTTTGGTGATGTTCCTCAAGTCTTACAATAAATTCTCTGTCAGGTGGACAATGGTGGGCTTCAGCGGTGAAATATTCGTGTAAACAAAGTTGATAAAGTGTGTGAAGATCAATATTTTATATTTTTCGCAAATAACTATTATTGTCGCGGAACCTACCAAAATCAAATCTATCCTACCAACCTACCAAATGGAAATAAACCTACCAGTTTTGGTAGGAAAAGCCCATATTTGGCAACACTGCTGATAAGTACGGTACTGATATGTGATTTGAGGTCCATAAATAAACGCAGATCTAATTCCGATTGCAGGCATTGTTTCTATTCGCGCCGCCGCTACTATTCTCCGACTACGGGCCATTGCCCTTGCGGCTCTCGTTTGTCTTGAAAAATTTCTTTTAGCTTTAGGCATTTTTAAACACTTCGCACTATTCCGATATTTTAAAGATTTTTTTTTTTATATTTAGTAACGAAATTCAACTTTGTATAAGCCAAAAAAATCAGCCTTTAACGCACTTGCTAATTTACCAACTTCGCGAAAACAATGTGCCGAGTTCCCATGAAGCCCAAGAAACAGACATACATATGTACATCATTGATTTGCTGTTGTTTGTGCATGCCACTACAGCGGTGGAAAAATAGAATTCGGCTAGACAGAGGCAGGATTCCCATAAAAAAAAACAGGGCTAAATTACTTTACCATATCAATTCTAATTTAAACAGAGTTATGTACATATGTATGCCTGTATTAAAGTCTAACTCAATTGATTGAATGTTGATCTGTTGAACTAACATACCTAGTTGAGTTTTGTTTTGTGCAGAATTTGCATGAAGCGAAACATACATTTCTTTGCTGTTATTTATTCTGTGATCTACTACAGCGATGTAAAATTGTTTCTGCTGCGCAGCGGCAACTTTGTCACGAACTTCATCTTTATGAAATAAAGGAAAAGCTGAAGATCAATGTATTTATGTATACCACACCAAAAAGGGCTGACTTCCAAAATGTATCAATACAAGGTTTGGAAACTGTTATACTGCGGTATTCAAACTGTTTGTATATGCAGAGTTGCGACACATTGCAACCATATATATTGCATATTTTATATATTCAATATAGCAATGAGCAATTTTTCTGAATTTTCCATTTCTAAAACACCAATGCTAACCAATAACAAACGAAGCATCAACTTTGTTTCTGATGCGCTGATTGCTCTAGCGATGCATTTCGATAACTTTTCGGCTGCGTTTTTGAACAGTATACATTGTCAATATTTTGTAGTTCGACGTTGTGAAACCTAATACTTTGTACGTATGCAAAGCAATTGACGTTTTGGAAGTCAGTCAAGCTTACAGTGAGAATGTACCGATATCTCAGCAAGCAGCATTTTGAAGTAAAAAAAAAAAAAAAAAATCAGTTGCCAAAGGAAGTACACGATGTAGTATACATTTCATTTTTAAAATACCACTGGGTCCTACTGTCAAATACCGTCGAATACTTAACATAAAAATCAGTTAAATATATACAAATATCTGCCTTAAGTGTATATATATTTTGCGTAAACCGGAGATATATATATATATATATATACTAGCAGACCCAGCGAACTTTGTTCCGCCCAAATAAGTTCTTTGTATTGAAACATTTTGGTCCAACATTTTCACCAACAGTTTACGTTCAAGATTTTCAGCGACGCATTTATCTTCTAATATTACGGTTTGGTGGTTGTCAGAAGGCATATTTCCATTGCCGTCTTAAATAACCTAGCAAAACTGTACATGTGAAAGGCGCCACGTCCCCTTTTCAAATAGCCCCAATTTTCTCTAAGAGTATGGGATTGATTTCATATGTCTCCATACCGTTTTCGAGTAATCTACAGTAACGAAGCGTTTTTACTGCCCCGACGCTTCTTCTACAACGCTGGGGTATACTCGCCGTGTCCAGGGTTCGTTACAATAAATTTGTAGTTTCGGGGCTCTGGTAAATCGTACTTTATTATTTAGATTTCCTTAATTTCTATAAAACATATAACAAAGAAAGGATCACGGTGGAAAATTCCAGTAATGTCGCTTCTGGTAACGGCTCCGTATTCCGTCGTTGACCCGTTATGCCGTGGTGGCGTGGCTTTAATACTGGTGGGCAGCGTTCTGCTGACGCCGATGAGTGGCACGTTGCTAACGTCGGTAAGTGATGCCCTGTCCGCGTCGATGTGGAGCGCTCTTGTAATGAAGGTGAGTCCCGCTCTGGTCGTGTCGGTATGTAGCGCTCTCGGCAATGCCGGTGAGTTTCACTCCGGTGCCGCCGGTGAGTGGCGCTCTTGCACTATAGGAGAGTAATGCTCTGGTGACGTTGGTAAGCAGCGCCCCGTTCGCGTCGGTGAGTATCGCTCTAGTGACGCCGGAGAGTAACGTTCCACTCGCGCCGCTGAGTGGCGCTCTGGTGTCGTTGACAAGTGGCGCTGTGTTCGCGCCGGTGGGTATCGCTATAA